GGGGATTGAACTCAGGCCCTTGCACTTGTCAGGGCCCACTGAGTCATCTCCCTGCCCACCCCCCGGTTTGTTTGTTTGTTTTTTGACCCATACGTGTTTCTTTTTTTTTGGAACCGGGGATTGAACTCAGGCCCTTGTGCTTGCCAGGGAAGCGCTTATTCTACTGAGCCATCTCCCCGCCCCAAGACCCATAGTTTTTAGAATCTCTAAAGCATACTAAAATATTTACCAGTCTGGAGGGATCATTAACAGTCCTTTTCAACAAGAGGGTCTTGCAACCTACACATGTATGATTTGAAGCTACTGTGCCAGCTAACAGTTAAATCAAGGCTAGAAACTCACTTGTTCTTAGATAGCTTCACTATCTTCAGTTCTGCCTCAGACAACTATTTGAGCAGCAATTTAAATCTGTCAAAGTAATTTTCCCATTCGTTACTTAATTTGATACTCAGAAAATTCTAAGCGTATTAATTCACTGATATTAATTTATTGTTTTCATCTTTGATGAGTATTACTTTAACCTCACATTATAAGTATAGTAACGCTGAAGTACAGAGAAGTGAAATAAATAGGTCAAGATCACACAGCCTTTAAAAACTGTGTGATCGCAGGGTGTAATGGCCCTTGCCTGTAATCCCAGCACTCGACAGGCTGAAGACAGGAGGACTGCTACAATTTCAAAGCCAGCCTGGGCTACAAGGTGCGTTCAAGAGCAGCCTGAATTACATAGCAGGGCTCTGAACCAACCTCCCTCCCGCCGAAAAAAAACACACCCCTGTGCTTTTGTGAAGTGGTCCTCAAACGAACAGGGACCTTTCCTGTCACCTTGAAGGCTGAAGGAACCATAAATTGTATCCCCCTTTCTATTCCTGCGAATGCACCCCAGTAGCCGTCACCTGAGCCCTCGAAGAGCAATCGAAAAAGTCCTGGATCTCTTTTTTGCACGCACTGTCGCGGAATTCATTCTGCTTCCAGCAAGCCATCATCACCGACATCTCTGTGATACATGTCGCCTCTGCAGAGGAAGAACTGGGCAACCTTCAGGCACAGTGAGACTTAACCGTCCCAGCCGTCCCTTCCCCAGTCCGGTTTCCGCTCCGGGGCCTCCCGGGTTCCCGCTGCTCACCGCCCTTCTCCCGGCGCCGTTCTCCAACTTTATTAGCTAGGATGAGAGGTTTGTTGGGCTTCAGTGTAGGCTTCCGCGGGTTCGCCAGCCGCACTAGGCGTCCCCGTAGGCTGGGCGTCGCCATTGCGCACCGCGCTCCCGGCATCCACCGCGGTGCGCTGCGTGCCCCCACGTGACCCCTAGGAGTCAAGGAGGCCGGGGCGCGGGCGCCCCCTGTTCTCGGCTTTGGTAGGGTGGCCGCTGGGGATCGTGGGAAGCAGGCAAGCCAGGAAAGCAACCCCATGAGTGGACCCTAGTTTCTGATGGTGGCCACCAGGCCTAGAAGATGATTCTCACAGACAAGGGCAAACAGGATGGGAGCTAAACAAGCTATGAGCCCTGACATGTCAGGCTGGGAAAATCGTTTTCACAAACTCTCAAGAACTAGTGTTTCATTGTCGACTTTGAGGACAATCCCTAAGCACGTGCCGCAAAGAAAAATTAAGCTCTTTTCTAACTACATACTCACATTTGTAATGATCTCATTAGGAAAGATAGAAAGTTTAAGCGCCTTTTGCAGTCATTTTAATCCCCTTGCCACTCTCCTCAAATTATTTGGTAGCGTCATTCCTATTTATAGACGTTGTGATAGCTCATAAGCCTTAGTTCTTGGTTTTGTTTTGGTTTTGAGACAGTTTCATGTGGTCCAGGCTGGCCCTAGACTCGTAGCCTCAGTGAATGCTGGGATTACAGGCATAGACCATCAGATTTAGGTTTTTTGTTTTTTTTTTTAATTGTATCTATGTGTGTGTTTATGTATATATGTATTTGGTACAGGGTCTACAGGGTGTCACTACATAGGTCAGACTTGTAGTGATTTTCCTGTTTTCAGGCTCCCAAGCACTGGGATTATAGGGGCGCACCACCAAGCCCTGTTTAATCACCATCAGCGAGCAGCGGGCGGACCGGGGGCAGGGCCAGCATGGCAAACTCGGATAGAACTCGCCTAAGCAGGCCCTTTAGTCCGCTGAGCTATCTGGCAGCCCGCAGATTTAGTTCATAAAGTGACTTCTGGCTATTTATAAAACTCAGTTCAGCTGGACGTGGTGAAGCATGCCTATTATCCCAGCACTTGGGAGGTTGAGGATCGTTGCGAGTTCGAGACCAGCCTAGGCTAAAAGTGAACTCAAGGTCAGCCTGAGCTGCATAGGGAGACCCTGTCACAAAAAGACAAAAAAAACAACAAACAAACAAACAAACCCTCAGTTCAACCTGGCTTAGTGGCTATAATTCCAGCACTTTGGGCAGCTGAGGCAAGAAGATCAAAAATCTAAGCTTAGCCTGGATAGCTTAGTAAGACCCTGTCTCAGTGGGGTAGGGCAGGACCTAGCTCAGGGCAAAGGGCCTGGGTTCAGTGGTGAGGGACACAGTCAGTCTAAACATGGTGTCATGAATTCTCAAGGCATTTCCAGAAGAAGGCCAAGAAATGTTTCTGGTAATGGAAGCATAACTTGAACAAAGCTATAGTTAATAAGTATGTTAGAGTAGCAATATTTAAGTACTTGGATGTGTAAATTTAATGTTATATCCTTTGTCACAGATGTCTGGAATCTTCCCTCTGATACCTGTATGGCTGGCTTTCTTTCCCTTGAGTCTCAGTTCATGTCAATGATGCTATCCCTGATTTCTTTTCCTTAAAAAAAAATATATATTTTTTTTGTGTGTATTTGGTAAAGGGTCTCACTACACAGCTCAAGCTCATTTGATCCTCCTGTTTTCAGCCTCCCCAGCTCTGAGATTACAGGCATGTGCTACCACACCTGGACTCCTACCGGCTCAGCATGCCCCAGGGGTGGGGGGGAGGGATGGTGGGGGAGGAGGGGAGGGGATGGGGGTGGGGGTGGCTGGCATGGCATGTGGTGCTAGGGACTGAACCCTAGTCTCTGTACTTGCCTAAACCGGCGCTTAGTCTGCTGAGCTATCTCGCTGGCCCTTGTCCTTCATTTCTTATATCTGAATTTACTGTGTATCCTTATCAACTCCTAATACATTGTTTTTTTTGTTTTGTTTTGTTTCTGATTTTTTTTTTCATGTATTTAGTACAGGGTCTACAGGGTCTCACTACACAAATCAGACTCATAGTGATCCTTTTGTTTTCAGCCTCCCAAGGGCTGGGATTACAGGTGTGCACCACACCTAGTCTATCAATACCCATTGTAAAATGGGTGCCAATGAAAGAAGGTAGCCTCTTTCGGGTCCTCCTTTCCAAGAGGACAAAAAAAGAAGGAACAACGGTCGTGCCAAAAAAGGGCCGCAGTCATGTGCAGCCTATTCGCTGCATGAACTGCGCCCGGTGGGTACCCAAGGATAAGGCCATTAAGAAGTTTGTCATTCGGAGCATAGTGGAGGCCGCTGCTGTCAGGGACATTTCCGAAGCGAGTGTCTTCAATGGTCATGTGCTTCCCAAGCTGCATGTGAAGCTGCATTACTGTGTGAGTTGTGCCATCACAGCAAAGTGGTCAGAAATCGGTCTCGTGAAGCCCGCAAGGATGAACTCCTCCACCCCGATTCACACCTGCTGGTGCTGCCCCTCGACCTCCACCAAAGCCAAAGGCCATGTGAGGGGAGCTGGGTCTTTTTTTTTTTTTTCCCAGAGCCGGGCCAGGGAAGCGCTCATTCTACTAAGCCATCTCCCCGGCCCCTAGGGAGCTGGGTCTTAACAGACTGAAGAAAACTCTCTTGAGGAAGAATAAATTGAATGTTATACTTTATACAGCATGTTGAGTATACCTGCCAGAGGTGGGCTGGGTTAATTCAACCTGTCCAAGTTTTAAGTTGGTACTCTGAAAATGAATAAAGAGGAACACACTGGAACGGGTTAAAAACAAAACAAAAAAGAAGATAATATCTTGTATCTTGTTCATTGCTAAATTCCTAGTGCTTAGAATAGTGCAAATAAATACTTGTTAAAAACAACTTTTTGGGGCCGGGGAGATGGCTCAGTAGAATAAGTGCTTCCCTGGCAAGCGCAAGAATCTGAGTTCAATCCCCGGTTCCGCAAAAAAAAAAAAAAAAAAGACACAACTTTTTGAGGGCCGGCAAGATAGCTCATCGGACTAAAGCACCTGCTTTGGCAAGCACATGAACCAGGGTTCCATCCCCAGCACCACATGCCCCGCTGGACCCGCCCCTGGGGCGCACTTAGCTGGTGACCAAGTCCAGGCATGGTGGCACATGCCTGTAATCCCAGTGTTTGGGAAGCTGAAAACAGGAGGATCACTACGAGTCTGAGCTGCGTAGTGAGACCCTGTACCAAATAAATAAAATGAAAAAAACAAACAACTTTTTGAAATATTTTTACAAGTTTATAACTTTATTATGCCCACTCATAAATAATCAAGCAGAAGGTATATAAAAAGTTTATTACATAAAATGAAACCCAAGATAATATAAAATAGCAACACTTGCAGTTGAGACATCAGCCTGTGTGCCACCATCTCACTCCAGAGTGTAAATAAAACAAGATTCCTGTCAGATGCTTCTACCAACAGTAACTACAACTGCACCAAGTAATATTCTGCTACTGCATAGCATGGAGCAGACTGGGCCCCAAACCAGAGAAAATTCACACTGCTTGCTTTCTCCACAGAAAAAGCAAAGCTCTAGCTCCTAAGTGTGGCTAAATTTCCCCAGGTGGAAATGTAGCACCTGACTTGCTGGGGGGTTCTGTGAATACTATAATTACATGGTGATAAAAAAGGGGAGGGCCGGGGAGATGGCTCAGAAGAATAAGCGCTTGCCTGGCAAGTGCAAGCGCCTGAGTTCAATCCCCAGTTCCGCCAAACAAAAGAAAAGTAAAAAAAAAAAAGGGGGAAAGTCTGAGAATCACTGGGCACAAAGCAGGTCTACATCTCCAGCAGCAAACCATAAACAAGTGGCTCCCTTTGTACATCAAAGTGCTAAAGGAATACTAACATGAACTAGTGTCCTTAGACAAGGGTTAAGGATCTTGCATAACCATGATTTACCTGTTTTATTACACATAATAAAATCTGAGTCCTAACCTAGATTTACACTTGCACAATATATATTTTGCATTGTCAATAGGCATCTTCATTGAAAAAGATTGCCAACTTAGAAAGTAGGAGTCCTATGATTTCTTTTGTGGGTCCCAACTAGATAAATTTTAATTTTCTCCAGTCCTAGGGCTTGAACTCAAGGCTTCATATGTAGTTGGCAAGAGTTCTACCACTGAGCTGTATCATCAACACTTCTTAATTTTTTTTTTTTTAAACAGGGTCTCAACTGCCCAGGCCAGCCTCAAAATTGCAGTCCTCCTGCCTCAGCGTCCAGAGTAAATGGAATTACAGGTATATACCACCACATAAAGAACAAGCAATTTTTTGGTCTGTTTGAGACAGTCTTGCTATGTAGTTCAGGCTGGCCTCTAACTCTCGATGACTCTCAGCCTCCCCCATACTGGGATTATAGGCATGCAGCAACTATGCCTGCCTCTCAAGTGTATTTTAAATTTTTTAAAAAATCTTTTACTTATTTGGTAGAGAGTCTCACTATGCAGCCTGGGGTTCTGGGGCTGGCACTGCATGCGGTACCAGGAATCAAACCCGGGTCCTCCCACTCACCAGGCAGGCACTTAGACTACAGAGCTATCTCCCAGCCCCTCATAAGTGTATTTTTTTTTTTTTTTTTTTGCAACAGACCGAACAGGTTAAGCAAAATCAAGGGCTAGAGCCAGAGAGACAGCTCAGCAGCATAAGCACCTGCCTGGCAATCACAAGGTCCTAAATTCAATCTCCAGTACAAAAAAAGCTAGAGATGTATTCAAGGTGAGCACACAAACAGCATGTGCAAAGCCCTGAGTTTAATCCCCAACACCACAGAAAAATGAAAGGACCAGGGACTTAGCTCAGTGGTACAGCACCTGCCTGGCAAGAATGAGGTCTTGAGTTCAATTCCTGGAACCCAACAACAACAAATCAGTGAAGAAAGGTAATGAAATGCAGCCTGAACTGTAGCTTTTCTTGTTCACAGCCTTAGATGTCATAATACTGAGCACAGACCTTAGCTGCTGAAGTATCTAACAGTCTAACATGCCTCTCTCTCTCTCTCTCTCTCTCTCTCTCTCTCTCTCTCTCTCTCTCTCTCTCTCTCTCCTCTTTCTC